AACCCGAAGCTCTCAAATCCTTCCTAAAACAAGCCTTACCTACCCGATTTCCTGCCTTCCCAAAGAAACTTAGTTTTAGTCCTTCTCTAAAAGCTTTTAAAAATACTGAAGAAGGATCATTTTACACTGTGAAAACCCCTTTGGTTGCAAGAAGATTCATGCCAAATTGCCACTTGCCCACGTTCCTTTGATGCACGGATCTCCTTCTCTTTGTTTAGGCTGTAAACTCTTTGGGACAGGAGCCTTGCCTTTAAGCAGCTAAAATACCACGCACGTTTCCAGCCCTGCACAATCACTCTCATCTTTCCCAGGCAAAGAGCCAGTGCTCAGACATTTCTGCTTCCAAGTTCTGAGAGTCCCAGTTCGTATTCCTCTTTTTCACCTCTATTTTGTAAGTTTTCTCTTTTCTGCCTCCATTAATAAGCGTGGAAGCTATCAGCAGTGCTTCAGGAGCCAACCAAATAAGGGAATCATTTCCTTTGCTCAGCTGGTGCTTGTACATGCCCCCAGCTTTCTGTGACCCCCTCCTGGTTTGATATGCTGGTAGGGGAAGGGATAGGGGGGAACTGGGCTAGAAATTAGCCAATTAATGATTTCTCAGCAAAATGCAACAGCCCCAAACCTACATCTTCCAAACCACAGAAGAATTTTCTTTCAAAATACTTTCCCCTCTGTCAGCAGTCTGTGTTTGCCCTCCCCCACTCCTCCGCTCCACCCCCCCTTTGTCAGACCTGCTTCTGGAAAAAGTCTCTCTGTTCCAGAAAGCAATGCATAACATGGACTTTGTTTCACTTGCCTAAATATGCAGAGAGAGAATGACTGTCCACAGTTATCAAATGTGTTCATCTGCAGACAGAAGCTCTTCAGTCTTTGTCCCTCTACCTTTCCCTGCTTTTTGTTTTAAATAATAGAAATCCTTGTGCCAACAGACAGAAAAGAACAACAATGACATTTCTTCTAAACAGCTTTGTATTGTGCATGCTCTTACTTCAACCAAGTAAGCACCAATAAGCATTTACTACTTTCCTTGGAGAACAGAGTAAAAGAAAACCCAAACAATCAAAAAAAAAACCAAAACCAAAACCCCAATGGAGAGAACAAACTAAGGCTGAAGCTGTTCTGTACTGGTTTGATTTAGCACAGCAATGTCACTCACAGTCTTCTGCTGTGATTGACAAACATTTCATCACCATCAAGCACAAGCAGGCAAGCCTGAGAACAACGGGAGAAGTCTCACAGAGGGGGCTGCCAAAGAGGGCAGAGCAGCTCTGGTGAGATGCAGGAAAGTGTACGAGTGCACAGGCACATCAGCCAGGCTGGATTACCAGTACTGACCAAGTGCTCTTTCCACAGCTACAAAACTGGCTGAAGAACCACCCACCTGGGCGAGGACATGAGCTTCCAGTGCTAAGACCAACTCAGGATGAGGTTCAAGTATCAAGACCTCTGGGTTACACAGCTGCCTTCCCTCTACACATTACCTTTGCCCATCAAGCTCCCTCATTCCCTAAGATAGGCAAACAGTGGGAAGTTGTAACTTCAACTCTTTCAATGAATAGCTCATTCCTTGTGCTAGGAGCTACTCCTAAATAATTGGCTCATTTGGCAGAAATTCAGCCCATATTGTTGGTATGAATAACTTTAAAGTGCTTTCCTGCATTGTAACAGCTCCAGTTGAAAGCACTGGGCACAAAACCAAAGCAGCAATAACTTAGGTCAGATATCTGGCATAGAAGACAGGCATGTAACATCCCAATTCTACCAATCAAACTGTAAAAGCACAAATTACTTTTTATTAAATTAAGCCTGTAAATAATCCTAAGTTCCCTTCCTGGGGAAGTTCCAAATAAATGCATGTGTAGAATTACTATTTAACCCTGTACAAAACATGAACTCTGCAGCTTGCAGGTCTAATGAGTGTCAAGTCTGAGGAAAACTACAAACTTTCAGGCTTCTCCTCACAACCCATATTTGTATTACCGGAGTTTCAGAATGTATAGAAGAAAGTTTAGAAAATGTACCACATTTAACATTAAAAAAACCGCAAGCTTTGCAGCTACATAAGAAACACAAACCAATGTAATCTCTTAGATCTGGGCACACCACAGACCATTTTAAAGAGAAAAGTTCAGCAACAAAAGTCATCTGTTTCTCTTTGTAGAAACAGACTACAGCTGTTCCCTTTGCAGTTTTTTTTCAGGTTTAAAAAAGGAGCACTACCATGATATTCAACAATTTGTCTTTCATGTTTCTTATTCACAGACCCAGTAACACTGATTCCAAATATCTGGAGGTCAGAGATGCCTAGCTTCTTCAAATGGCTTTGGAAAGATTAGAAATAAATAAGCCATATGCTACCCCTAATAATTCTCCCCCATCAGGCACAGTCTAACAGGGAAGCAAACACTCTTCACTTATGCACTCCAGCTTTCTCAGTGTTTTTAATATTCAAGTCACTTAGAAAATTCTGCCGTTCAGAAGCAATGCTTAATTCCTTTGATTATGGCCTTAAAGTGATTCTATCACAAGCCTAACTGATAAAAATGCTTATTAGTGGTACCCAAGCATAAATACAAAGGGAGGTATCCTTTACAGCTTGCTTTTAAACTCCAGTGGACTCCTGGAGCTAACCCTTCCAGCAGCAAGGACTATTTCAAGCAGAATATTGCTGGGTGGGAAGAATTTCAGCCAAAATGTTTAATTGAGTTTGTTTCCAAGGAAGAGGCCAAGTGGGGAAGGGGAAGCTGTTCTGCTTGTTTTGAACAATTCTGGCAACCTCCTGTTTGAACAACTTGAGTTCTTCTGTGCTTTGGAGCAAGGACTTGAAGGTTGGCAGGGGAAAGCATATGTACACTTCATGCACTCTGTCATTTCAGTGCAAATTCACCCAAATTTGGCCTTGTTAGAAGTCTTCTGGGCTGGGATGGGAGGGGAAGATGGGAGAAAATCTCTCCTGACCTCATATAAACTGTGTTTTGTTAGAGAACAGCAGGCTGGACACCCAGAGAGACTCATACTTTCAACAACTGCAGTTTGGAAGGCGGAGATGTCTGTACAGACTGCAGCTCTGCCAGATCATGGAGCCACTGTCCCCAACTTGTGCCCATTTATTCAAGTCACTTTCTTTATTTCCAATAAGCCTGCTCTTGTAAGGATTCCCTAACCTATCATTTCTGATGACAATAAACAGCTTATTTTTAGCCAGCCTGGCTAGCTGTGGCTGAAATACATTGTGGAGACCTTATAGAAGCAGCTCAGTCACAGAGGGTGCCCCAAACCTTGGACAAAATCAAAGATTGCTCAAGTTTGTGCCAAGTCCAAGTGCCAAGATTCAGTCTGAGATAAAGCACATATTCTCCAACACCCTCAAAACCCCAGTCCTGCTTGGGCCTAATAGGGAACAAACTGTAATGAAGCAAGAAAAAGGCAAAGATGGAAGAGATTAGGGGAGCCTCTGCTGGGGAATACTGCCAGGGAGGACACTGACACTGGTCAGAGGGCAGGTCTGGAGAAGATGCACACAGGTGGTGGGCACCAGAATGCAAGAGAGAAAACCTGGGAATGCAACTTAGGTCCTTGAGACTTACCAGCTGATTGCTAAGGGACTGGTTATGCAGACTTAATATTTTATGGAGCTTTGTTTGCAATATTGTATGAATATGAAAAAAATGCATTTGTTTTCGCCAGTAAATAAATTGTTTAGAAAATGGATTCCCATAAATTCCCCCAGTTAAACTGCCAGGAAACATCTAGCAGAGTTTGACAAACCGAAGTTAGTAGCTCCCAAACACTTGGGGCACAGAAAGAAGCAGACTTTTTTCTCCCCCAAGACAGCACGTGTGCTTATGAGGATTTTTTTTCGTGCCCTCAGAGTGCATTTGGTGGCTGAGAAGCAAGACCTTATCTTCTGAAGGTAGTTTCAGTTTCTGCAGGGTCAAGCTATGGCAGGTAGGACACAGCTCTTGGTCCTTGTGTTTCCTCAATAATAATTTGAAACAAAGTTAAAGGTCACTGAAAAGATGGATGGGCTTGAGACAGGAGTCTGCACATAGTATCATATCAAATCCAGAAAGTAAATTTGCCACTTTAAAAATACATTCCTTAATAGAAAAAGGCACCTTTCCATTAACTGGAAATCATCTCTTGTGCTTACATTTGGATCCATTCCCTCAGTAAGGTTGTCTGAAAGTTACAGAGGTGCAAATGATGCTTTGTCCCACCTTTCCTTTCCGAAGGGCAATGAACACATCTGGATGATTTTCCAAGTGGAGCAGGAGATAGACAGGGATACCTTTGGTCTGGGACAGATGATTCACCTGCTTTTAAGATATACTTTGCTTATAGGGCTCCTCAGACTTCACCCAAACACAGCTTCACCCAAACACAAGGTGTTCCCTCCTTACCCTGCCATACCCACTGTCAGACCAGCCAAAGCTAAAAACACAGAACAGACCAAACCAACTAAAATGCTGCTACTGGTGGCATTTTAAATACCTAGGATTGATGCCAAAAACTCGCAAAAGTTTTCAAGTCCCTCTTTAGTATCAAGCACTGCTTGCAAGGAAGAGAGGGGACTGCAACTGGAATGATTTTAACTTTCCACACCACACACTTTTCCAGCATGCACATCTCCGACCACGGCTTTTTGGCATTCAACTCATTTTAATAGTCCTGAAAGTATCACTTGTCCTTACTGAGGCAGGAAAGACTGAGCACAAATATGCCCAAGTTAAAACACAGCAGATGTGAGCTTCCCCAACAGCACAAAGTCAGACTGCAAGAGCTACCCTTGAAGACCAGCCTCCAGCTCTGGGGTGCCCAATCCTGGCTCCGAGCCACCCTCAAGCTGTCATGTACAAAACCCACACCTCAACTCTGGAGCTTTGGCCCCTCACTACCAAAGTGCCAAAGATGCAGGTCCTGACACACAGCTGCTGAGGCAGCAGTGTGGCTTTTGATGGCCCCTGAGTGGCCGGTGCCAGAGGAAGCTATGAATTCACCTCGACTCTGCTGCCTGTTGACTATCCCGCCCAGCGTCCATCGCCGGTCCAGGCGCCTCAGGTGAGCCTTGCGTCGCTTAGAAACTAGTTTGGAACATGGATGGAAACAAAACAAAGGAAAAAAAAAAAGAATAAAAAAAAAAGTGATGGGAGGGTGAGGAACAAAAACAAAACATGGTATTTACAAGCATTGGTCTTGTTAGTGGGAGTGGGTTAGGTGGGATGCAGATGTTTTGTTTTAGTTTATATAGTACAGTGGAACAAGTTAACTTCTTGAGCTTGAGCAATGTGAGCCATCCAGAACTGTCACAAGTTGCCACTCTTGCTATTGGCCTTTCTTAAGAAGCAGTAATTATAATTAAAAAAAAAAATCAAAAACATATACACACTCCAAAACAAGCTGCACAACTAAAGACAACTTGTCGAAGGAGAGTGCAGTGGCAGGACACATCATCATTGCTGTTGTATCTCCTAATTCAGCTGCATGATCTTTGGGGAATTCAGTCTATTGCACGTGACATCAAACCCAAGAGGGCTCTAAACCTCTCTAAGAAAAATTATTACACTATAAACAAACCCACAAACTCTTATGTAAGTTCCCTCATAACAGCAGCACTCAGGAACTGAACCTAAGTGCAAAGTGTCTGATGTGTTTGCAAGACATGACTTGCATTCATTGCCACAGCTGGTTCTCATGATCAAAACTTCTAATATACAAATTACGATATAAGGAAAAAAACTAACCTTGCAATTATTCAGCAGGCTCAAGAAGCTAACAAGCCAGGACTGAGTGTTAGTTACATACGCAAACAATAACTTATGCTTAAAGTATAAACAAAGACAAGACACTTATGGACATGGCACTGTGAGAGCAGCTGTGCACAGAGGACACCACTTGTTTTCTGGAGCACATACTTAGATCTCTACTCAGACTCTTCTTTTGCCTGTACAGGTGTGAAAGACACTGGAACCATTACACTGGCACAGAAACACAGCCAAACACACTTCATTTTTTCCATTCAAGGGCTTCCATCCCAATTTGGCAACTACTGCAAGAGTGCTAGGTGCTGCTGCAAAGCAATGCAACATATTGCAAGGTAATGATAGCTGAGTGCAAAGACAATCATTTTACCAGTGGTGCTGGGAAGCTGCTCAAACTTTGATATCACATCATTAACAATAATTCAATTCTGTATATGTGCACTTATTTAGTGATTATATTCTTATACTAGACTAGGCACCGTTGCCTTCTAGAATTGTGCTCTGTTGGCAATCAGGCACAGCAAAATTATTTCACTGGGAAATCGTTAGCTGGACATACTTCACCAAAGAGTGGCTTTTGACTTTTTGTCCTTTATATCTGTCAGGAACTTAGATCAGAGTTTTACATCTAGCCCACTCTCCTCAATTTCTCCTTTTCTGTAGGGCCCAAACCTTTCCACACCAACCTAAGTGGAGGTGTGGTGAATGGTGTTGAACAGGTACATTATCTAGTCTCTGGTACTCTGTGTTTCCCCTTTGATCCCATGTTGGTCAAAAATCAACCACAAATTTTCAGATGAGCCAAATCTCAGGATTATAGATAGCTGTGGTTTTGGCTCATGGAAATCAGTGATCCTCTTGGAAGCCCATGGAGGGAGAAAAGATGAGCAGATTTAACCTGGTGACTTTCCCCAAATCAACAGGACATTAGACTGCCAGTTACACACATGCTACACAGGGAGACAACACAGGACACCTCACTAGACACACAGATTATAGCAGAGAGAGAAGTTAAAATGCAATATGTCTGCCTGTTCTGTACAAGAAAGGAGGAAATAAAATGCTGAATGTAAAGGCTTGCAGGATGGAGAGGTACAGAAGGGGTAGAAACTGCTTTAAGGTGTCAACACAGACCAGTCAGCTTGATCCTTCTCGTGCTGGGAGTTTGGGGGATTTAGCCATCCAGGAACATCCCTTGAAAACAGTGGGTCACACACATCCACCCCACCATGTTCTCACAGCATACAGCCATCCCCAGTGACAGCCCTTTGATACCACAGTAATGCTTCTGTATGAACCAGGGTTTTTTCTTTAAAAATACTGAATTTTGTCATTTTGCCCAGACTTGGACTTGGCTGGTCACGCCACAGTCACCAGAAAGGTTGCTTATTAACAAGCATCTACCCCTTTCCAGATATTATTTTAACATGTTTACTTTATCAGCTCCTGTAGCTGTTAAATGTTTCTTTAGATTGCTTTCTGATTGTTTTCCAAGCCTTGCAAGACGTGTTGGTCTAAACACAGGCCCAGGTAATAATCAGTCTGCCTTCATCCACACAAAAATGTTGTGCAAACTCAGGTGCAGGGAGGAAACACTTCTGTCTTTCTCAGGAACCAGGCTATTTAAAGGGATACATGAAAATATTACTGCTATATTAGTAGAGGCAGAATTATCAGCAAGATGTGTTTAGCACCCTGCTATCTTTACTGGGCTTGCCACAGCAGAGCAGACTTCATGGTTTGCCTGGCTTGTGGACTTGTTCCAGGCCTGTTCAAGTGGGGAGGGACAAGGGGCTGATACACAAAGCTCCCTACATCAGTGTTTCTGTGCTTTCCAAGTTGGGGGAGCAGAGACTGCACAGCTGCAGGAAGTAAATATCTGTTGGAGTCACTCTGAAACTTGTGTAAGCTCTAAATTGTGGGGCTAAGGCACTTAATCCACTAGAATGCCTTCCTCCTCAGTTACATCAGGGCCCCATTCTCCTGCCTACCTGGAGAAAGCTGTCAAGTTTTCTGTCCTAAGTACAGCCACTTTGATACACCTTTCTAAGGATAGTGAATCCAAGTAATTCTTTCTTCTCCTATGAAGTAATTATATGGAGAAAACCAGCCCAAGTAAAGAAGAACTGGAGGGGAAGAAACAAAGAGGAAGTCTCAGCTTAGATGGTTAACAACATAAACCAAAGTTACTAAAAAGCAAGCAAGCAAGCAAGCAAAATCTGGGGCACATAAAAGCAGCTGCAGAAGTTATGCAATTAGATCTGTCACTGAGATGGAACTGAGCAGAAAGGGAAGGACAGTCTCAGGTTTCAGCATATCTGGATTTGGAGTAAGGCAGGGAGCAGGACTGCTGACCACAGCTGAAGACAACAGTGTAATGGATTAAAAGGGACTGAGAGGAAGGAGATAAGGAATATTTGATAGGTTTTCCATTACCCAGAACAGACTGCTGGGTGGCAGCACCCCTGTGCAGAGTACACTCCAGAGGGCAACATAAAAGAGGAGGAGAGCAAGAAATGAAAGCAGTTTAAGTTATAAGGCTGTCAAGCACACACTGTATTTAGGAGTCAGGAGAAGGGAGGAAGCTACAGACCAACAGACAAGGCATTCTTCAGTGCCTGCAGACCAGAGCAGTAAAGTTTTGTTCTTTAACAACAGGGAAGCTTTACTCACTGCTTTTGCATCCACTAAGATGTTGCATCATAGCAGACTGGTTCCTGGCCTACCAGTCCAGAGCCAGTCTGTCTCTAAACCAGGATATGGGTAGACTTGAGCAGGGGAAAATGAGTTACAGAGACCAAGATTTCAGTAAGCTGCAGATGTCACCCTTGGAGCCCAGCACAAAGCCTGGCTCTGCCTGTGTGCTGTTTTCATGGGCAGATGGTGACCCCAACACACCTCTAAGCCTCCTGCCTGTGCTAAGGAAAGGTCAGCTGAGTTTCCTCATACATTTTACATAAGTGTCACATCAAGAACACCTAGATTTAGCAACAGATTCACTACAATTAAGCAAATCATAATAAAAGTGTCCTTTGTACACAGTTGCTACACGAGAAGCCCATTAAGATGTGGTTAGTCTTTCATAACGGAACTGAGGAACATGCAATGCTGAACTATTCCATTTCTGGAACCTCAATTAAGCATCTTTAGTACAAAAAAAAAAAAGAAAAAAATAAAGAATGCAGTGCGGCTAAATACACCTACATAACAAATGGCATCTCACTTTTAATAGAATGAGACTATACCAAATAAAATTACCTTTCCACACAACCACAGACCATAGCAAACAACAGTGAAACTATTTTCTAAGATTAATTTAAAGGAAATTAATGAGAAGCAACCATTAAACTTAAATCTCACTCCTTTAATGGCCTGTGGCTCTATCTTCTTGCAATTAGAAGCTAGATGCATCTTCTATGCATCTTCTTCCAATTAGAAGCTCTCACTTGGGGGGAAAAAAGCATAAAGCAAGAGAACAGCAGTTTTCTCTTGGTAAGAAAAAGCTTTCCATACCTTCCCCAAATTTAGATGTGTTGATGTCAGAATCATCTCTGGTTCCATTTTGGGATTCCAGGTATGTAGCAGGGACCCATCCCTGCTCCTCTGCTGTGCTCACAAACCACCAACCTACAAAAAGAAGCAAAAGAAGTTTCTCAGTCAACATTTAGAGAAACAAGAATAGTAAAATGCTACAGAGAAGATGACAGAGTCAGCAGCTTTAGTGCATGTTTGAGGTATTCTGCAGCTTCTTAGAACAAGAAAGGGTTCAGTGCTATTATATCACAGAAAAAGGGTGCAATGAAGCAAATATCAATTTATTTTAAGAAATTCAAAGTCCATCCATGACAACTTTGACTGAAATTCTCTAAGTCAGTTGCTCCAAGCTGGTCTTGCTATAAGCACATCTACAGTATCAAAACACTTTGTATATGTAAATATGCACATATGCACAAATGTGAAACAGCACAAGCACTGCCCAAATTCTAATATGAAGTATTATAAAAGGCAAATGAAGGAAACAGCAAAGACATTCACAGAAGAGCACAGATTTCAGAACAGGATCTAAAAGTGCTTCTAGAGCACTTGTAACCACAGCTGGTGTTTAACAAAGATGACCTGAATTCAATACCCTGGGAAGCTGGAAAGTACTGCACAGAACAGAAATAAAGACAGAAAAACCAACTGAAATCTGTCTTGAGGCCATAAGCACCAGTTATTTGTCTTCCCACCTAAACATCCAAGTTTTAACCAGTATCTACAAAAATGTTAGGTATTCAGCAATATATATGGATATAACCTTTAGGTCATATCTGTGGATGGACGAATAAAATTATATGCATGCCAGTTTCAGATTAAATGCATTCCAACTATAACTATCCCTGCCTATTTTCTTGCTTGATTACATGGATTTATTGAATCCTCCAATGATTTTGACATAGACTCACTCACCCAAGAACTTGCTGCTCTCAGATAAAAGCACAACTAGATCCTCCTCCATTCAGATAAGGTCTGGGTTATGACAACAGGAAAATAAGAAGTCTAACAAGTTAGCAAACCACTTCTGTTGTTGTCTGTGACACTCCAGTTTCCCCAGAAAACATAAGCTGCTTTGTCAGGACCATGCAAACTGTTGTCCATTACCACCCTTCCAGCTTCCACAAAGGGAGCTGGGAAAACAGCAATTTCTGCACATGCACGTCAGAACAGTTTACACTTTGATGGCTGTCCTGAGCACAGCAAATTTCACAGAAGCCTGCCTGTGAAGAGCAAAGGTGCCAGCCTGGTCTGTAAAGAGATGGGCACCAACACTAGTGAGTGTGAGGTGGCCACAACATCCCTCCCACGGCTGGGATTCCACAGCCCAGCCCAGCGAGGGGAAAAGGAAGGTCTGGGCTCTGCTGCCATGCCACATGCTACTGTCTGTAAGAGAAAAACCACCCTGCTGAAACAATGCTCAAGTGTTCATGCTAAAAGTCACCCAAGTTCATTCCAAATCCTGTCCGGAAGATTTTACCAGAGAACAGTAGCTACCAACCCTTGCTTTCCTCCCTGGGGCATGTGGCTGGGAGACAATGTACCCCAAGCAGCAACCCCTCACATGCTCCGGGCAGCTCCTAGGCAGCTCTATTTATTTACTCTCCAAATTCAGACACAGATTTCCATCTTCTGGCCCAGCAGAGGTTTGGAAACTTTGCTTCACAAGGCTCATGGTTGGAAAGTTTAAATTTAGTTATTCTCCCTCAGCAGGAGGTGGATTCTCCTGCCACGAAGCCCACAGCACTGAACACACAGGATCTGCCAGACCGTTTCAAAAACACTTCTTCATGGTTGTTCCTGATTTCACCAATAACATATCAACATGGGTAGCAGACACAGTTTAACATACACTCATAATTAGGCACAAAATGTGAGAAGCTGGCTTCCAACTGATATTAATTAGACTGGAATAGTTTACCTAAACTCTTCCTCAGAAAGAAATTAAACACAAATGCAAAAAGGACTTGCCTACACTGAAAAATGTACATTTGGGCCAAATTCAAACCATGATAAAACCATCTTTGGAGGGCTGGATGGCAGTTCCTTGACACCAACCCCATGCTAGCCCATTTCACAATACAGCTTCTCTGCTTTGGCTCATTAGCCTCAGAGCCAAGTTTAGATCTTTTGCTTGTGGCCGTAGTGTAGCTGAGCCTCCGTCCATCTAAACATGACTCAGGCTAAAGCTCCTAATTGCCACAGAACTCATGAAAGCTATACTTTCTTTCTAAAGATTTCCTTTATAAACTCTGCACAAGGGTGAAGTACAAATGAGAAACTTCTGCAGCTACTGAGAAATCACAGTGTTTGTCCAAGTTCAGGGAAAATCAGCCCTCCACTCTGAAATTCTCTTCCCCAATTTCAAGCTTCTCAGAAGGACAGAAGAAAGGCTTTAATACAGCCCATTGAAATAGCATGCTAACAGAAAAATGTGTGTTTTACTTAAACAGATTCAACAACTGAGAAGACTGAGAAGCTTCCAGCAACACCGCCTGGCAGCAGAGAAGTCACAAACGGGTGCTCACAAGGACGATGTGCAAAGCCTCAGAGTGGCCAAGCAACCACTGTTGAGGCAGCACATCCCTTATGAGACCAAAACCTAAATTATAATGGCATATCCAAGCCATAACCCTACAGAAGGGAAATTACAGCACAGTGCAAGAATTGACTCCTAGCAGAAAAAGGCTGCAGTGCAGACAAGCTCCTCAACACAGCATGTGCATGACAGCTACAAACTGCAGAACTCTGCTGGGATGATCATGCAGTACTTGCTCTGCACCACCCCCTCATTAGAAGCATTAGGGCAGCTGCCATTTGGTACCATCACCTCTTCCCCCTCTCACCCTCAGGTTCATGGGTATTCATGGTTTGCAGAAAAATTAGACAGAATTGTATTAGTTTGCACCATTACAGCCCAAACTTTTTGCAAAGAATCCCTTGTCACATCCCCTGCCATCCTTCCCAACCCAGAGCATCACAGAAAACTTGCTTTTGAAACACAGAACAAAACATTGCATTTATTTTGAGTTCTCCTTCTATGCTGGAGTCTAGCTTGACTTCACAATTCATTATTAAAACCATTCTGTAGCAACATCTGCAGGGAATTATGTAAAGTTATCTCTGTGCACTGCCAAGCCAGACTGAGGTTCACTCTTGCACTCACACCATCTGTAAAAATTAGGCAGTGCTTTACAGCTTGAGTTAACCCTTACAGGTGCCCCTGGCTCTCAGGCACCAAAACAACTCTAACATTGATGTGGCATGGATGTCTAGACTGAGACTCCCAAGCCCTCATCTCCGAAGAGGATTTAAAGGGAGTTTGAGCTCCACAGAGGCACAAAGGGAGCTGTAGCCACTGTGTCCAGACCAAGTTCAACTTGAGCTTTGCTGCATTACTCTAACACTAACCCAAGAACATAAATTTTTAAGGTAGGAATGTAATTTTGTCCCCACATATGTTGTTGCTTTGGTTGGCATCTGTCAACATCTCTAAGCTGCAGCAGCCAAGATATCTCCTCATTCACAGAGTCCACCTAGGCTCAGATAACTCCCAGGCATTTCACAAGTTACCAAGAAACAACCAGTTCCACTTGACAAGCAAGATGGTGATTGCAAAATTGGATTGGTCACACTGGAGAATGACTAAATGACAAAAATACTTGGACTTCAAAAAATCATGTTCTTGCGTATAATTGTATTCCCAGTCCTCTTCCCGAAAGGCTTTTCCAAAAGTAAAGTAATTAAGCAAATGTTAGCCACAACATGCATCATGGGAAACTAGTGGAGCATAGTTAAAGGAGCATATTTTATGCCAGTTTTGCTCATGTTTGCATGCATCCTTACCCACCCATACTTCATGGATGATACACATCAATAGGAGAACAAGCTATTCCCATTGAAGCCTGTCTGATCACAAGATGGTATAAAACACTGAATACGTAAAATTGCAGGATCATGCTGAACTTTGGTTTCTAATTCTCTCCTCAACCATTAATTTCTCTGTAGACTTTGACTGTCATTTTATGAGCTTAACTAAAGTAAACAGGACTGAAAGCACTCCTGTAAAAGGGCATGGCTATTTCTCCAGCATGAGTAGACTACACATTATTCTAAACAAATACTTAAGTAACACTCCACCTCTCAAGAGTCTTGGAAAAATCCCACTCAAGCAGCAGTCTGGTACATTTGACACATGGTCTACGGGCTTCAGAGAGCTGTTAATTTTTAAGTCCTTCTGCCTTGGAACTCTCTCGAAAGGTTTTTTGATCCAACAACATAAATTGTCCTACAAAGCAGAACTAGGTGCAATTAGGTCACTTCCAGACCAGTCACACAGATCTTTTCATGCACATGGTTGATTACTTCCCTTCAGAGATATGATCTACTTCATTTAAAACAGCTAAGGGTGCTGCTGCACAGTTGAAGACACTTGCTTTTTCCACCCCTCCAAAGCTCTTGCCACACAGTACATATATATTTGATACACACAGGGCAGTCTCAGTAATTGCCTCTGACAGAGCTCTGATGAATATGTAGAAGCAGATGTATAAAGTCACCAGAAGTAGCTTTTACAAGAGGGATTTTCTGCAGTAACCTTATTCTCACACTTGCTCCTGTGTCTATGTGCTGTTAGACACTACCATTGTCCATGCTGGCTCTGCTCTCTGTAAAAGCCTTCTTCAGTCCCACACACTTGGAAAAGGCACAAGGTTGAAACCACTGAATTCACATGAAGGCCAGTCTCCAGTTGCTGAGAGTTTTATTCTTACAATTCATAGAAGAGGCATCCTTCTTTGAAATATGGAGATACATGCAAGAGGTCTTTCTAGCACAGAGCTGACTGCAGTTGAGGGTACGGAAGTCTGTGAACGACTCACTGCAAGGCGGACTAAGGCTGTCATCTTACAATGAATTTTTAAAGCTGGTGAAATATTACAGGCAGCTTTCACCTCAAAACACATAATGTTTCCCAGCCTGTGTGCACTGCAGTCTTCACTGCAGCCACCACTCAACCATGGAGCAATGTTTGTCTTGTTTAAGAGATGAAAGTGGGGCCCAAAGACATGCCGCAGGAAGAAAGATCTTAGTGG